TTTTTATTCAGAGATGAAAAAACTCCTTAAAATTTTTTCTTCCGTACCCCCACACCTAAATAACAAAGCTTTCTCTTCTTCCATACCCCAATAAATCAATACGAATTCTACCTAGCCATTCCATGTTTTGTAATTATTCTTTCCTGTTTCCTACACCCAGTGTTTGTTATATGTAGATGTAGTTTGTAAAACAGAAGGTGTACTCAACAATTAGATGAGGGAACTCAAATTACACCACAACCTCAGTTTGAAGTATTACAGTCTTACCTACAGAGCTCCAAGCTTTGTTAGTGAAAGCTAATATTTTAATTGTAACCATGTTGCTCTAATTTCAAGTCAGATACTATGGTTAAAGCCTTGTTTCATGTTCCGGTACAACATCCTATTGCTCTGAAAGGTTATTATTGTGACTAAAAATTAAGATAATTGCTATGGAAAATTATCTCCCCCTATCATAACTCAATAGGGAAATAACAGGAAATAATTAATCCTGGAAAATCATGTTAGACAAAAGTCACTTCCTGTAAAGATGTGATTTTTATTTGGTGAAGTAGAAAGAGAGAAGTGCTCTCAGGGTGTTTATCATCTCCATTCTGGAGTACTGCTGCAACATTTCTTCCCACTTCACTCAAATGGAGCTGGGACAGGGGAGGGTCAGGCTGGGGGTTAGGGAAAGGTTCTGCACCTAGAGGGTGGTTTGGTACTGGGACAGGCTTCCCCAGGCAGTGGTCATGGCACCGAGCCACCAGAGTTCAAGAAGCATTTGGACAATGCTCTCAGACACATGGTCCGATTTTTGGGTAGTCTTTTGGGAACCCAGGAGTTGGATTCAATGTTGTGGGTCCCTTTCAACTCAGGATATTCTGACTAATGTTGTTCTATGCAAGATACCAAGTTTACATTTTGTCCCAAAAATAAGAATTGTTTCAGGCTTGATTTCACTCAGTAGAGCCACTCTCAGTTTTACAGTCAACATGCCATGTATGAGTTTCTTAAGTAGTTTATGTGGCTCTGTCTGTTATTATGAAAAGAACCATAAATGGATACCAAAAAATTATTTCTCATCCATTAAATTTCTCATAGGATTCTAGGCCACCTCCTCACACATGTATGCAAAGGCTGAAGAATAAAAAAAGCAAGGACTGATTTTATCTCAAGGTTATGGAAACACCATTAGACCACAAAACTATGGTGTCAAAAATTTATCTTGACATTTGAAAAAGTCTCGGTGGAGTTGAAAACCTTATCACATAATTAACTGTAGATAATTCTGTTTAATACTGAGGATCAGAATTTAAAAACAGCCACAACCTTGATAAATGGCATGTTAAATAAACTGGAGCTTCCAAAGAGTGATCAGATAGCAAGAATGAAAAAAATCCAACTCCAACTTAAAGGACAGTTGACACATGAACAAACTGCCTAGCGAGAACAGGGCAAAATTGTAAAAAGGAAAGGTACATGGCCCTTCTGAAACACCTCCCCATCCAGTACAGTTGATATCTTCCACAGGTCTTATGTAAATTAAGAATACATTGGACTGAAATTCTAGCCTCACTTAAAGAAATGGCAGAGCTTTCTTTGGTTTTCAATGGGAAGTTTGCATAGTTTGCAGTCAAGTGGACTCAGTCTACTGAATGCCACAAGAAAGTGAATAAAACTATAATTAATTTTCCACAAAGACAAGAGCAGTGACCAAGAGAGAAGAAAGACTGTTTAAAAGAGCTTCCGTGAAACTCCTTTGACCTCATTCAGGTTGGAGAACTTCCAAGAACAATCTGGAATTTAGTCATCTCACTGCAGGATGGTTTTTCTCTTTTGTCTGCCTGTTGCTTATTTTCCTGCTTGAGGACCCAGCATCAAACAATAAAAATGACCTTTGACTTTTTTTTTGTTGCTTTCCTTTTTTTTTTTTTTTTTTTTTTTTTTTTGTCATGCAATGAGAGGACTGATCCAAAATAGTTCAATGCTAGAATAGGCACCTACTGAACTTGAAAAGAATGTTGGAAGAGGTTGGAAAAACAAGATTACATCTTGAAGTCATGTATCTGTATCTGTGACCACACAGAAGTCATCACAGCTGGTCCTTTTTTTTTTTTTTTTTTTTTTTTAAGAGACCACAAAAGTCTTCATAAGACTTTTATCAGACATTTACAGTTCCAAAGCCTTAAGTTTTACCTGCTGGGAATAAGCATCCCTATTTAGCTTGGGGGAGGAAGAATGGGACAAAACACCCCCCAGTATTTTTTCCATTGACATTCAGCTCATCTTCCAAGAAGGATTTTATACAAGTGGAAGAAAATGCTGGCTCCTGCTGCTGCCTTTGTGGGGATGGGGTCATATTAAAATCATATTTTAATACAGTGTTACACTTCATAATGTATTCATCTGACAACCAAATTGGGAAGGCTATAAACTACCACATGGAAAATTAGAGAGTGACATTAGAGTTTCCAAAAAGCATAGTGCCTGACCAGGAATCCAAGCAAGATGCCGATTTTTGCTTGCACATAAAGCACAGGGTTACATTTAGTCAACAACTCTTTCCTCCCATGAGCTCACCTGCTTAGTCAGATTTTTCTTTCCCTTGTGTCAATTTTATTATTATTAACAATATGAAGTAACAGCCATGATAGGTCTATGTCATTGCTCTCCCTTTCCCTGAGGCAGACTACCACACAGGCTCAGTTATATGAGCAAAGGAAGAAGGAAATGAGACCTACTTTAATCATTCCAGCACCTCTGAATTTCTAGAATTCAGAAAGAAATCAGCAACAACTTGACAATTGAGTGCATTCAATACGGCTGGAACAAAGTCCCAGGCAAAATGTGGAATACCCCAAGTTTACAATGTCTTTATCATAGCAAAGGTATAGTGGGACAAATGTTATCATCTACTACTTTAAATGATCATTCTAGTTCTCCAGCTAACAGGATTTGGAGCTGGGAAGTTCTAACTTACACTCTGTACTTGATGCCCTCTTGCTTCAACTTAGTAGAATACATGGGAGGGAAGAGGAGGTGACCACACATGCAGATGCTTCCGCATGCATGTACATCAACATTTTTAAAAGCTTGCACATATTTTTCACCAGTGTGCCAATATAGTGAGCAGCCATCACACTGCTCCTGTAAAGCCAACACACTGTCCAACTTCAAATGTCTCTCCTAAGGTTGAGAATATGTGCAAAATGGTAAACTAATTAATAGTTCATTAAAAGGAAGAGTTCAAACCTTTCTCCTGCATTGTGCAGCCCTGCCCCCTCTCTGTATTTGTCAGAGACTGGTTTGCTGAGTCTGCCTGGTCACAGAGGACAAATACGTGACTTCTTTTGCCGGGAAAAGTTCTTGTAGATGGGTTGTTGGGCAGAGTAAGTACAGAGAGGTCCAGCAAAGTCTAGAGCCAGAGCATTAACCAACAACGAACAGGTGGGATGAGGCAAAGAACAGAACTCATACCTTCTCCTCACAATGCTTTGGGTGTCTCATTTCAATCTAAAATAATTTCACTTAAAAAAAAAAATCTGTAACACTTTCTGTACTGAAAAGCTTAACGATGAGCTGAAATTACTTATTTTTTTATCACAGGTCATAATTATGTAATTACCATCATCATGACAGTCCACCAAAGCATCACTTATTGCATTTCATCTCATATGTTCAATAATGATATAAAAGAAATCAATGAAAGAACCATGGCCAGTATCCAATTTACAATTATTGTTAAATAGAGGGCAACAACACTCGGAAACATTCTTGCAAGCTGTGACTCAGTTCAAAGCAGTTAAGTAATGATCGTCTGATAATCAGCCTTACCTTCAGCTGTACAGATTCTCTAAACCAGTTAACACAGAGCATTTCATCTGGCAAAGTGCAGGCTGAACCAGAGTGCCACAGCAAGACAGTAAAACAGTTTGAGTGGAGACTAAGCAGTGCATGCTTTGGCTTGTTTGTTGTTTTTCTTCCAAGAGTGAGTATAGTTCATTCTGAGTGTTTTTGACGGGAAAATTGAAACTTCGCACTGCAGTCCAATCAACAATAAAAAATCCGGATGAAAAAACACTTATGATTATATTGCATCTGATCCTTTCATCCCAAGCAAAAAAAGATTCCACTAGTGTGCTAGCAGACCAAAAAATCATATTGCATTTTATTTTTTTCTAAAAGAGGCTCTTCCTCTTCTTTAAATCCAAAGAAAAACATCTAAGAGTTTGATTTTTTTCATAACAAAGCATTAAGACTACTGAAATGTGCTTGAGTTGAGAAATCATGCTAGAATTTAGCAACTAGAAATCAAACAGCTCGATTAAGTTAAAACTATGAGCATTCTCCGTATACTTCTACTACAACTGTTTAACTCAAACTTTCTGAAGTTAAAGATATAAAATATGTACAAGAAAACACAAAAATATTTATTTAGTAAACAAACATTGTGTATCATGGAAATGAATTTCATGTACTTTAACATGTAGCATTTTAGAACAGATGATCCACATGACTCCCGATAACAGTTTGTGGGACATGCTACTGCCATAAACATGTCCCATTAGCATATATTACTGAATGGCAAAACAGATTGCTAATATATCTAGAAATATAAGACACTTTACAAAAAAATTCCAGGATGACGAATGACACTATATGCTCTTTATCACCATTGAAAAATTACTTGAGTTAATTAATTCAATTGTTTTTTTAAATTGTTTGTGTGTTTTTTTTAATGCAACATTACTTATTTATTTTCCAAGAACTTTAACATGACAATATAAAATGGAAAAGAAGAACCCCCATCTGGCTGCTGCTTTTATTTTGAAGTGTTATACATGTATAAAACCTACACTTTTTCTTAAATGGTGACTGAACAGAAAAAAATAGTTTGATTTTGCTTTGCTATATATCACATTCTGGATGCATCTACTGAACTGCTGCTCAAAAATAAATCAAGAACACAATGAAAGGATAATTTATGAGTTGTCAAGCAATCACATTTTAACACTTACTTTTGTGAAGATCTGAAAAAAGTCAATTGCAGCTGGCAAGTGAGACGCATCCTGGATCTCTGCTTTCAGATACAGTTGCAAGGTGTGCGCAAGGTGCCTGAGGCCATCTTTCATTTCTTCACTTAGTTGTTCAGTATCTTAAGGGGACAGGAAAAAAAGTACACCAAGGCATAAACAGAACCTTTCGCCAACATCTTGAAAATGTACAATGGCAGCTATATAGTCTAGACATTTCCAGTCTCAGAATTAATCTTGACAGAGGGCAATTTTGACAGAGGGCAAACATTTGTCTTTTTTTCCTGACAACTACCTATCAACACAAAGAAGAGTTTATCATGTTGCTATTACCAAATTGCATAAATTCAATGGTGAGTTAAAGATCAAAAGCCAAAAGATAAAGCAGATGTGTAAGCAGATGTAAGACATTAGGTACAAAAAATAGGCATCTAGGGGTTTATAATGTTAAGAATGAATTTGAAAGGTTATGCAGCAGCTCTTTCCTCCTTGCAGAAGTGCACATTTTTATACTGTATTCTTCCCAGAGGTGTCAAACACTTTATGCCAGCAGATAAAAAGGGAGAGTACTTTTGAGACAAACAGAGTTTCATACACAGCAGCAGCTGCTAAACAGAATTGATATGAAGGAATATTAAGCAAATACCACTCCTATATTAAAGCACCATTATTTATGCTTCACAGATAGGAATCCTGGAATCCTGAAGCAAAAAAAACAGTGCCTTATTTTCTAATGAAGTGATCATCCATGCATCAGATCAGTGATAACATGGAAAGTGAAACTCAGCTGTCCTCATAAGTTCAGTGCCTCACCAACACGGTTCACATTTCCTTTTTTCTGCCAGTGAGCACAAAAGACCTAACTGGAGAATGGACAATGCACAGATTCAAGCATCAATCATAACAAAAGTCTAAGTAGATAATTATGCACTGAGAATCAACTTCATCTCTGTATAACAGTGATTTACATATATATATTATTTTTTTAAATATATATCTTTATTGGGAACAGAAATAACCTTTCACTAAGAAAGGTTCTTCCCTGTGCTTTAGATGCAAGCTTTCTGGCATACTGGAAGAACAATTCAAGATCCTCTCTAGAGCTAACTCCTAATTACTCATTTTAAAAAAGGATGCAATTAAAGCAGACGTCCCTAGGTTTGGTAAACATCTAGCTAGTGTTTGTGATTCTTTGGCTTCTGTGTGCCACCCCACCCAGCATTCCTGCACTTGAAGGTACAGGGTATTTTGTCTCAGGACAGGTGAGCTCTCCCAGAGTGCTCAGATTCAGCTCCTCAGAAAGTTCACATCACTCATCACACAAAAAGCAGACAGATGCTCCTTGTTAAGTGGCACAAAGGCTATGTAACTAAAGGATTTGCTTTTTTATAGCTATACAACTATATAATGCACATTTTGAAACGTATTATGACAAAGACAGGCATGATTTGCTTTACTATTGGCAAAAAAAAAGCACCTCTAGAGTGGAGAATGGAAGTCTTCTAGGTAGAATGCAGTTTAGGACAGATGTGAACAAGAAATATTGAATCCAACTAGAACTTCCGGGAGAATTTTGAGAGACAGGAGCAGAAAACAATTATTCAAATTGGACTCCATCCAGGACATCAGAGCTAATGATCCCCACAAAAAGTGCCACAGGACCTTTAACGGCAAATGATCAAGACCTGGTTTTCACAACACATCATGAAACCAAGGCCAAAAAAAAAAAAAAAAAAAGAATACAAAATTTGTTAATGTTTTCATTTTGTTTTTCTAAGAAACATTTTTTTGCTGTCAGAACCATGGTATGGGAAAAAAAAATGCTATAAAAGGCTTGTGGAATGGTTTCTAACTGAGGCATGGGCATTTAATTATGCATCCCTGATACTGATACAAGTGAACTAGCAAAAAATCTGCCCATACTACTCTACACAAACACTTTCCTGCATACTGAAACTAGTTAAGCATAAGCCAAGTTGATTTCTGAATCATCTTAACACACAGCAAGCCAGTGAAACCATGCAAGTAACAAAACATTGTATAATAAAACCGAACCAGCACTTAACCTCCTACTTAATCAGCACTTCAGAAAGCAATGAATTTGAAGGAACTATGGAGTGGGGAATAAAGCTTTATAAAGGGCTATGTGCTGCCAAATGTTCCTCATTTGTTTGCTTTTAATAGATGTGTTACACATTTCACCAGATATTGAATCCCTAAGTGTGTAAAACATCATAAAAACTGAATAAAAGCATATAGGTCACCCACACTGAAAATCAACCAACCATATAAAGTAACACTTAAAAAGTAGTATTGTCAAGTAGACATACATGTAGATAGTGTAGTGACAATTTTTGTATATTTGGGATTTTAAAAACAACAAAAATGTGAATCAATTAGAATTCTACCCATAATATTTATGATAGCGTTGAAACAATCTTGTATTATACAGATGCTTCCCGAGAAGTTGCTTGCTTGAGATCACCACCTGTATTTCCAGTTCATATGATTTCCTTCAATGAAATATTTTTTCCTTTATACTTAGATCTCTAATGAAAAAAACTTCTGTGACTTTCATATGCATTCTACCAATAACAAAGGAAAGTAAATCCCAAATTATCATCAACAACCTGTAAATAGTGCAGTAAATAGGAAGCTTGCTGAAGATACAGTGGCAGCAAATAGCACTACAGTGACTCCAGGCTGTGACACCATGCTACAATATTCTTTTGGACTTTGCTTTTCATTCTAAAAGCAAAACTGTTGAGACATTATTTTCACTATATCAAGGTAGCTGTGAAATCAGCAAAAGTGGTTAGCCAAAAACTTTGCATGAGATTATGCAAGTGTCATTATCCATTTGCACTATATTCTGTGAAGTACCAGCTTTGGTTATTGAGGAGTCACAAACACTTTGGAGTTAAGAAGATCACAAACAAATTGTTATTAAAGCTCTTAAGTAAACGCAGATGAAACAGTAGATGTGGGTCTCTCATTTGCTTCCTTGTAAAATAAGGTTAGGGAACAGCTCATTCAGTAACGGTGAGAGCGCCCATCTGACCTGTATCACAGGCTGTAGCAGCATTGCCTTTAGAATGAGGATTGAAGAGAAGCTTCTAGACATGTTTACAGATTTTTGTACCATCTCTCCATTGCAGCTCACGCCTTCTCTCCAGACATGTATCACACCATTCCCCTTGCCTCCAGCCAAGTCAAAGGAAGTTGAGAGCACCTCCTCAGCTGTACTATTAAAACCTCAGTTTTTATGCAATTACCAATTACACAAAAATCTGCACTACAGAAATTGCCATATAATTATTAGTATTTAATTTTTAAAGGAAACCTCTTACCCCAATTCTTCCTCTACCACTGCCCAACCAGCCATTGGCAAGACATAGCACCAAAAAGAGTTGTTTTTTGTTGTTGTTGTTGTTGTTTTGTTTTTGTTTTTTTTCTGGATCTCAGCTGTGTTATGGGGTATAGAAGTCAGTAGTCATCTTTTAACGTCATTGGAACACCTGGAAAGGCTGCTCTTAAATCAGATGCTTATCTAATTCCAAAAAAAAATGTATTATAGAATTTTAGAATATCCATGGCAGAAAATGCTGTTTTGTTTTGTTTTAATTGAAATGCAATCCCTTTATCCTGATCAATTTGTTGCCTTAAGGTCTTTTCTCCTTGCAATTTAGGAGAAGACAACAGAATATTACGATCTAAAGAAATAAAACTTCTTAGTAGTTACTGCATTTTTCCAGTTTATGGTATTTATTTATTGCTATTTAACTATATCAATATTTCAAGCTGTTTTAAATCCAAACCTCTGAATTACATTAAAAATTGATATAATCAAAAAGTTCACGCTACCATCTACAAAATCCCTTTAAACAAGACAGAAGATCGAACTAAGGATGTATTTCTTCCCCTGCATGTCTTCAAACTTCTAGGTACTGCAATGTCTGGAAAAAGTGTTTTCTAGTTCAACAACAGCTCTGCTAAGAGATTGTGATGAACCTCTTTTCCTGTCCCAGCAGCTGAAACTTGTTAAACCACAGATATCTGCAAAATTTTATTTTATTTATATTTTTATCTGCGTAAGATATCTGCGCAATTTCATCTTTTTTTTCCTCCACTGAAGTCATGAGCAAGACAGACACATCCCTTGTAAGTTTTAAATATCTTTCCTTTTTCTGGAACTTATTTTGAAGCTTTATATACTAACCCATAAATATTGAAAAACTAAAACCTTATTATAAAAAAGGTATGTTGAAAATATATGTAAAAAAACGGACATTTGGTAAATTTTAAAAACCAAACCAGCAAAATATATACGATAAAATAAGGAGAAATATTAAAGCCAAATAATGTGGAAGAAATCTTGCTTGCGCAAGACATGCATGTTTTTTCCATTGATCTTTGAACAATGTATTCATCCCCACAAAGGTTTAAGCAGGTGCAGTTTTGTCTTTCACAGAATCACAGAATTGTCTAGGTTGGAAGAGACCTCAAGATCATCGAGTCCAACCTCTGACCTAACACTAACAGTCCCCACTAAACCATATCCCTAAGCTCTACATCTAAATGTCTTTTAAAGGCCTCCAGGGATGGTGACTCCACCACCTCCCTGGGCAACTCGTTCCAATGTCTAACAACCCTTTGGGTAAAGTTCTTCCTAACATCCAACCTAAAACTCCCTGGCGCAACTTAAGCCCATTCCCCCTCGTCCTGTCACCAGGCACGTGGGAGAACAGGTCAACCCCCACCTCACTACAGCCTCCTTTAAGGTACCTGTAGAGAGTGATAAGGTCGCCCCTGAGCCTCCTCTTCTCCAGGCTGAACAATCCCAGCTCCTTCAGCCGCTCCTCGTAGGACTTGTTCTCCAGGCCCCTCACCAGCTTCATCGCCCTTCTCTGGACTCGCTCGAGCACCTCCACGTCCTTCTTGTAGTGAGGGGCCCAAAACTGAACACAGTACTCGAGGTGCGGCCTCACCAGAGCCGAGTACAGGGGGACGATCACCTCCCTAGCCCTGCTGGTCACACTGCTTCTTATGCAAGCCAGGATGCCGTTGGCCTTCTTGGCCACCTGAGCACACTGCTGGCTCATATTCAGCCGACTATCAACTATCACTCCCTGGTCCTTCTCTGCCTGGCAGCTTTCCAACCATTCCCCTCCCAGCCTGTAGCTCTCCTTTGATTCTGTTTTTCATGCCATGTTCTATTATACTACAGTAGCAGACTTTCAGAAGGCAAGGTGCAATAAGATAGGCTCGCCATTCTGTAAAACAGAATTTGGAATCATTTCCTGCAATATGGTTGGCAATTACTTACTTGACTGAAGATCTGAAAAAGAGTAGAGTCTCTCAGAAATGCATACTGATTGTCTAAGCTGTAGGGAAAAACAGATAATTAACACTTACACAGCATGTTTTATCTTGAAAACATTCTACAAATTGATTATTCAATGTGATATGCCTGTAAGATAATTAGATAAGGGTAACAGCATCAACATAAATCTGGTCAATCCATGCTTTCTGTAAACTACCATAAAAATACTTTTTTTTTTTTTTTGGTGTTACGACACTTTCTACTAATATATTTTCTTGACTTTGGCAGCTTACCCCTAGTAATTTACTTTGGCCTTTCACACTATAATTGAAAGCAATTTATGAGGTTAGCAATCTCAGATTTCATGAGACTATAATTAATGCATAGCATAGCTAGGTACATATTTGCCCTTTAAAAAACATGCACACACTCCTCCCAACAACGTACAAATGAAGATATTAAAATCACATTTTATCATCTCAGACCACTACAAATGTGCACATTTTTATTCAAGGACAGCACCGTGGCAGGGTCAGAAAAAATAAATAAAAGAAAAAAGCGGTAAGTCCTTTTTGATTTACCATCCCAATCATAAGCCTAATTACCTAACTGAAAATTTAGTCCACATAATTTAATCATATTGTTGGAATGTCAAACATCCTGGGCTTCCAAAAAAGTATAGAGAAAAAGAAATCAAATCAAGATTAAGAGAACTCAACAATAAAAGGATGGGATTGTGCCCCTAAAGAAAGGACTAGCTAACTGCATGCCTGTCCTTACTACCGATATAGAAGGAAAAAAAAAAGAAGAGGTTCCCACTGAAATTAATGGAAGCACCAATATCTTCAAGAGTATGAGCCAAAAAAAAGTGTGTCCTTCTCTGCTTTCTTTCTAGACAGAAATAAGGTTAGGATGATACCATACTCACAGGCAGAAAACTTCACAAACAGACCTCTTAAATTTAAGACCTCTTAAACAGACATCTTAAAGTTAATTATGTCCATTTTAGTATCTCTTGATACTTTCAGCATTTCTGCAAGTTAATCGGTAGCCTTGTAATGCGATATGCAGCCCAATTTTGTTCAGCAATCCTAGTCACTTCGGCTTTCTAACTCTTAATTACATTAAAAATGTAACGGGAAAAAAAGTATTTATCTGGAACTGTTACACTGAATACATCTAAAAAAACGTCACTTACTAGTTTAAAAACAATCCTGCCAGCAAGTCTGACGGAGTCTGGAGGAAAATTAGGCTTGATGCTCTTAAGACACTTGCATTCTTGCTTGTGGTCCAGCCAAGCTTCTTTCTTTTTTTTTTTAAGAAAGAGAAAGAAAAAAAAACGTTATTTTCCAAAACTTATACCCTGTTTTATGTACTTCTATATATGCACACACGAACTTATACAGGCACAGCAATAAGCATAGTCAGCCTGGCCTCTGGCCGGACCAGGGACACAGAACCAGAACAGCATCAAGGCCAATCGGGCCGGGGCAGGAACCCCCCCTCAGCTCCCACGGGCAGGAAGGAGGCAGCCCTTCCTCAGGTACTGACACCTACTGAATTAGCAGCTGCTACCACAGGCAACATCTCATGCTGACTGCCAAAAAACCAGCAGCACACATGCTGTACCAAAACAGCCTAAGACTGCAGCTATCACTCAATTGTAGAGAAGCACAGGCTGGATTATCTATTCAAAACACCCTCATCAAGCCATTACTTCCTTTAACATAAGATTAATTGTGTACTAGACATTGGAGCTACAGTAGTGCAGGTCACACAAGAGGACTGCCATTTTGCTGCCCCAGAATTTTACTTTACTTTTAACAACAATAAGAGTAGTAAAAACAAAAACATTCTCAAGTTCCCCATTCAGTTCTTGATCTATGCAATCCTTACTTTGTCTGTTGCATGCTACTCTCCAACAACACAGTTCTTACCATACTTGTTCAAATACTATCTTCTTTAATGCATAAAAAGGAGGGTACTGAGAGAAGTGGCAAAGTGGCCAAGACGCTTTCCATCATTTATCAGCAGTCCTGGCTATCAAGGGAAGTCCCACTTGACTGGAGGCTAGCAAACATGATGCCCATCTACAAGAACGGCCAGAGGGTAGACTTGGGAAACTGTGGGCCTGTTAGTTTGACCTCAGGACCAGGGAAGCTCATGGAGCAGATTATCTTGAGAGTCATCACACAGCATTTGCAGGGCAAGCTGGTGGTCAGTCCCAGTCAGCATGGGTTAATGAAAGGCAGGTCCTGCTTGACGAACTTGATCTCCTTCTATGACAAAGTGACACGCTGGGTGGATGAGGGAAAGGCTGTGGATGTGGTCTACCTTGACTTCAGTAAGGTTTTTAATACTGTTTCCCACAGCATTCTCCTCAAGAAACTGGCTGCTCTTGGTTTGGACTAGCATACGCTTTGTTGTGTTAGAAACTGGCTGGGTAGCTGGGCCCAAAGAGTCGTGGTAAATGGAGTCAAATCCAGTTGGAGGCCGGTCACTAGTGGCGTTCCCCAGGGCTCAACACTGGGGCCAGTCCTCTTTAATATCTTCATCGATGCTCTGGATGAGGGGATCGAGTGCACCCTCAGCAAGCTCACAGACAACACCAAGTTAGGTGCATGTGTCGATCTGCTCGAGTGTAGGAAGGCTCTGCAGGAGGATCTGGATAGGCTCAACCGATGGGCTGAGATCAACTGCATGAAGTTCAACAAGGCCAAATGCCAGGTCCTGCACCTGGGGCGCAATAACCCCAAGCAGAGCTACAGGCTGGGAGATGAGTGGTTGGAGAGCTACCAGGCAGAGAAGGACCTGGGAGTATTGGTTGACAGTCAGCTGAATATGAGCCAGCAGTGTGCTCAGGTGGTCAAGAAGGCCAACAGCATCCTGGCTTGTATGTGGCAGTGCAGCCAGCAGGGCTAGGGAAGTGATTGTCCCCCTGTACTCAGCTCTGGTGAGGCCACACCTCAAGTACTGTTTTGGGGCCTTTGCTACAAGAAGGACATCGAGGTGCTTGAGCGGGTCCAGAGAAGGGCGACAAAGCTGGTGAGGGGTCAGGAAAACAAGTCTAACAAGGTGAGACTGAGGTAGCTGGGCTTGTTCAGCCTGGAGAAGAGGAGGGTCAACCTTATTGCTCTCTACAGGTACCTTAAAGGAGGCTGTAGCAAGGTGGGGGGTTGGTCTATTCTCCCACATGCCCAGAAATAGGAAAATAGGGAATGGGCTGAAGTTGCACCAAGGGAGGTTTAGATTGAAAATTGGGAAGAACTTCTTTACTGAAAGGGTTTTTAGGCCTTGGAATGGGCTGCCCAGGGAAGTGGTTCAGTCACCATCCCTGGAGGTCTTTAAAAGATGTCTAGCTGTAGAGCTTAGTGATATGGACATGTTAGTATTAGGTCAGAGGTTGGATTAGGTCATCTTGGAGGTCTTTTTTAACCTAGATGATTCTGTGAATATGTAAAGATAATGTTAAAACTGTACAGAAACCTAGAAGAAATACCTCTAATTTTGTTTCCATGTTCCCCCTATACAATTTTCTTTACCTTTGTGCAACATGCTCATTTGTGCAATGATAGCATCAGCAGCTTAAATTGATATCCCCATTCAAGCTGAGTTTTTAATTCAGTAAGTAAATGGGCTCTGATTCTCATTTTATTGTGGCAAGAAGAGATGGAGCTGTGTGTTCCTCAAGACTGGAGATAACTAGAAAGGAGGCTAAAACTCCCTGAGCTATCCCAGTTCTGATGCAGCTGCTCTAAAGCAACGATCAAGTTCCCCATGCCGAAAAAAAAACACTCCCAAAGCCACCTGACCTGGTTAGGCATTAACATCCACTGTTGGCAGGACCAGTGATGATATGTCCAGAGCTCAGAGACCAGGAATGGTTGCAGTAACCAAAATTGACCAAAATAGAAGGAACCAAAGAGGATATAGCTGCATGTACTACTTGGACCTGATTTTTTTTAATTCATGGATCACTTTTATCAGAATGGCTTACAATGAGTAACATTGTCAGAGCAGAGAAGGAATGACAAGGTTAGGGAAGGCAAAGCTGCTATATATTGAAATGTGTCTCCCCCCCCAAGTCTGTGCAGAAGAGCAACAAGGAGTTTCTAGGAAAAAGAAACTCATGCTGGAATACAGAGTCAATGTCTGATCATCTTTTTATTTTCTGCCTTCTGTCTTTCCAAGCTCAAAATTCTGTTTATACTTTAAAAAACGTCTTCAAGACCATCTTATGTAAAGACTTACTATGTTAATATTTAATACATATATTTGTAGTATAGGTTTGAAGACACTGAGCTTTTTTTTTTAATACCTTTTTAAAAGCAAATTGGAAAAATAGGACACAGCAAACAATTGTTAAGGTGACAATAACTCTGAATAACCAAAAGCTTGTGAAGGTGACATTTTCTCACAGACATGCATTAAGAAAAAAAAACTCAAAACACCAGCTTTTGTAAGGTAACTGCCACATGGAAAATAATAAAATATCTACTACAAAGCAATTATACATTCAGCAATAAAAAAGAGGGAACAACAGTGAAATGTACAAGTCCACATCACACCTGTAGACACTGACATTCCAGTTATAAAGATTACAAAGCCTATCATGCAATATAATGCAATATATTTTTTTAAGCTGTATTGAAGCAGGGTAATTGTTTCAGGTAACCAGACCAGCACCAGTAGCATTGTTCTGTTTCATTGTGGGTTCTCCCTCCGCCTTTGGCTTACACATAATAAATAAATTGTAATTTTTATTTCCTTCAGATACATAAGAGATTTCTGATTTCATTTCCTTTACCCATAACTCTACAAGGGGAAAAAAATGACATCAAGAAGGCATTAATCCAAAAACAGTTAGTGCTGCACACTGTCTGACAAATAAAAGCTAAGTATCTACCGGTGAATAGAATTACTCTTGTCTAGAAGAAACAAGGTCATGCTTGTAAATGTCCAGACGTCATTCTCTGTAATATAATTATATTGGCATTTTTATACCACTTAAACTAAAATTGTTCTTTGGAACAAGCCTCTATCTGTCATTTTTTTTCCTTACATAAATACTGCACAGAATTTCAAGTATGCTAAAGGTGACATTAAAATGATTAATAGCATACCCAACCAATAAAGCCCTAATGAGACAAAATATGCAGTACCACACAGCATAATATGTCACGTTTCTTGGAGATGCATTTCCCTATGAGAACAATGGTTATACCAGATGCTTTCTTCTAAGCAGTGTTTGGCTGCAACTGATGCCAAGAAGGAATCATATTCATCTGCAGGAAGCCTGCTGGAACAGGGACTGCCACTCACTTCTTCCCTGCTGACTAGGGGGGAAGCTCCAAATACATCAGGTGTAATGAGTTGCAGCGCTATTCCTTCTCACTATCAATACAACAAGGATACAAATTACAGAACTATATGGACTATGAAAACCTGTGATCCTGGAGAGACTTAGTTTTAAAGCTAGTCTCTAATGATAGTTACTGCTGGGTTTATGTTAGTCCCACGGTTCTCCACAGGAGGTTTTCTGAACTCTGCATGTTCTGGATTTCAGGCAGGGGTTTTACATCCCCAAAACAGCATGAGTGCAAATACTATCCTGCAGACCACCTGGTCTGGCCCTGCTCCCTCCCTGTCAGGGAAGTCCTTCCAGTTTTTCCAACATATATACCACCACCACCACCCTCCCCATCAAAAACAAACGCTCCCAGAAGGAAGCAAGCAAAGCAAACTGCAGGGAAGTACAGGGCAGTACCTGGCCGTCCTTCCACAGACTTCATTTCATTTAGAAACTAAAAAAGAAAATCCCTCCTAGGTCAGTGTCTCTCATTCAAGCCCAGTGTATCCCATCTGCAATTCCTCAGCCTTTACTCAACTGAGAAGGGACGAGAGCCCAAACTGCTCAGAACTTACTGCAGTGTAGAGCTGCTTACTGGTGGCAGACTGAGAGCCTGCCTGGCCAAACCAATATGCAAACACCAGCACACAACCATGTGTCACTTAATGCAGCCCCAGCATCACCTCCTGCTGGCTCAGGGCACCGGCACAAACACCTCCATCTGCCCACAAGATCTTGCCTATCTTTCAGCTGACCTGTTTCGCCTTCACAGAGATGCATGTCTGTTCTTGCACTGAGATATACTATCCCACCTCCAAATAGTCCCTAATCCTAGGAAAGACCCTAAGCCATTATTTACAAAATTAAGGTTTCCCCTCATCTCCTCTACAGCACCAAAAGAAAAGCGGAATGTTGCCTGCAGATTAATGCACTCATGGAAAGCAATTAAAGACTACATCTCATCCAAAAAAAAAAAAAAAAGTTGAATATTTTCCCATCGGGATGTAATGGCTATTTAAAAATGTCAGAATTTGTAGTTTCCAATGGATTGTTCAATTTTTACAAAGTGTCTTATTATTGAAATGACTTCATAAAAAATATTTCATGATGGCATATTCTGAATTCTTCCTGAAGTGACTCCCCCACTTGTTGAGGATTTTCATTTACATCACTGGTCCCCAGTCTATGGGACACACCAAATTAATAAACACTGCCGGAGGAGATCACAACAGTGCTTATAAGGTGAAGCAGATGTGGTAACTATGTTTGGAGAGACACAAAACATATCTAACACTGCTAGTAAATTAGGGAAAATAGGTATCAGCAGGTGGGAAAGGTGCTGCAGCAGAGAAGTGTCAAGAAGGGGCAAAAGTCAATGAGGTCCAACTAAAAAAAAATAAATAAATTAAAAGACCTACATAAGTGATTCTGAAATAAGAATTCAGTGTAACAGGTCAGCCTAAAGAATCTCATGTTCACTTCCAGTCCCACATTTGTTTTGTTTGTTTATTTATTTATTTAAATTAAAGTGAAACCAAACAGGTTCAAACCGGCCTGAAAAGAGATAACAGGGATTTCTTAAATTTGGCACAATACACTCAAAATATTCATTTTCAACATAATGAAGACTTCTGCAACTTGAACTCCAATTCCCATGTAGTTTTGTTCTCTACTCCTTGTCATACCCACACACCTCCTTGAAGGATAACACTTTGCAAGGTAAGTGAAGCATCTTTCAAAAGTGTGTTTCTTCCTTTACATGCTAGGGCAAAGACACTTTCTTAACCACCTGATATTTTAAGCAAGTGAAGATTCCTACAAGAAATCTTTAAAATGAACTGTTAAAATCTTTTAAATGAGCTTTAAAATGGCTCATTTTGGTACATCCTAACATTGAAATCCCCTGCTGAATGTAGTTGCTTCCTTCAAAATCTACCTTTATCATAAACCTAGTTCAGCTGCTCAGATTAATGACTTTTCTTTTTTGAAAGTCAGTTTACTTTCTTATTTGACTTCCTGTATTAACCAGAAAACTCCAGAATCAAATCTTTCTTCAACTAAAGTGTAAATTGTAAATCCAGCTGTACAATATGCATTTCTAAGTTGGTCTGTATTTAGAAAAATAAAATTGTCCTGTTTTGCCAATGTTCTTTTTAAATCTGAAAACTGCAATTTGATTTAATACCCTGCTGTTTATTTTGCTCAGCAATTAGTTCAATTACAAATGCACATATTAAGCAATTGCACTAAATCTACAGAGGCTGAGTACAAAAGCTTGGGCTTGGCTGAGAAAATCTTTGCTAAGGGCTGCTATAAAAGCAGAGCTGCAGAGCAGTTTAGATAGCTTTTCAAAAGAAATATGATATAGTGGACAGTACTTAAGAGAAAATGGATCTGATTGGTCTGAGTTTTATTCATATCATTTGCCCTGAGCTGTCAATCCCAATAAATTCCGTTTTGTCTAGAAAAAAACATTTTTACAGTTATTCTCAATTGCCACCTAATATATGAAAGCACTATATAATATAAATTCAATATTAATGTATTGATATTAATAGCACATGATACTATGTAACAGTAAATACGTAACATGTTAAGTGCAGATGACTTACAGGAGCTCTAGCCTGCGTCACTGAAATCAATACCTACAGTTGTGGAGCTGGCTTCAAGCACAAGATGCCTAGAGCTGGAAGCCAAAAGCAAAGATGCCCCAGATGACTTCAGATGATCCAGTGCAAATCTTTGAAGTGTGTTCACATACATGTAATTATTTTCTCAAAGGAAGCCCGATTTCCTAGTTTCACTGCTATTACAACTTAGGCTATAAGAGGCTACTGTGTTACACCTTGCAGGTTTGCTCGTGCAGGTCAGTGCCAGCACAGGGAGTGCTGCATGCTGTTGCATTCCACATTAGACTTGCCAACAGAAGATTTCTCAAAGACTCTCCTGACACATATTTGTTTTGAACTTACCTTACAAATAACTCTGGTCTTTTATATTCTTCAGTGATATTTTTCCATAATAAATCTACTTGTGGCATTATTATGGATGCTACAGTAAGCACCTAATGTACATTGTGCGCATTTGCTGTACAATGAATCAAGATGACATATCTTCCTCCTTTCTACCTCCATATGTTTTAATCCCAAAAAGGAGGGGTTTCTGGCCTGTTGAGAACGTTGCAGATCATACTAAGGCAGAATTGCTTCCAAAGCACATAAGATGTGAAAGGATCATTTGAAGGTCAATGACGGCAGTTAAATTCCTATACCTTTGATAGAAGATCACTACTACTTCATTTCAACCATTAGTTGTCTTTCTTCACTTTTCTCTATTTAGGAAAAACAACCAAATTACCACTCAATGCTAGGAGCAATGATGTAAAAACTGAAGGGTTCTATAAGGCAACTATACGGTTTCAATCTCAGGTGCCAGGTTCTATACCATATCACACCTTACGCAGTCACCCACCCGTGTGACCATTTGATACCATGTCCTGCCAACTTCTGTGCACAAGCTCCAGTGACAAAACAACCCAAACACAAAAACTCAAGTTTTAGGGTTGAACACCATTAAGAAAGGTTTCATAGGATAAAATCATAGGATAATTAACAATTGGCAGGGATCTCTGGAGGTTTCAAGTGACAAAACAGGGTCAGCTCCAGGGTCAGACCCCACTCAGAGTTTTGTCCAGCAGGGTCTTGAGACCCTCCAAACACACTGATGGCACAACTACCCTAGTGAGCCTGTTATATTTCTTTGCTGTCCTCAAGGTTAAAAAGTTTTTCTTTTTATTGCACCTGCAGCGGTCTTCCTTCAACTTATTTCCATTGTCCCTTGTCATCCCACCACCCATCACTGTGGAAAGCCTGGCTCCATCTTTGTGATATCCTCCTCAGAGCTACAGTTTTGCCCAAGGCTCTCTTCTCTCCAGATTCTCACAGCTTTCTTCCTCTTAAAAAAGAGGGAACATCCTTTATCATGGAAAAGATTATTCTTGAAATACAGATTGTTTTACTGCAAAACTGACTTAGAAACTTCAGCCTGCAACCAGAAGTCTTCCTCCCCCTCTAACCAAGCATAGCCAAACACCACACATTTCATCTTGGTTCCTTCTTTATCTCTGATTACAATCAGGTATTTGCCAGTCTTATATTTGTAACTATGAGAAAATTTAAACAAGGCGACATGTTTGCTCTCCATCTGTAACTACAAACAAAAAAATTTGGAGGTGTGACAGTGTGGAAAATGTATGGAGACCCTGTAAATTAAGCATTCAAATGCTTGTTTTTCTTCAGTGCTTTATAGCTGTAATTTTTCATCTTACCTGACAAGATTTACCACAGTATTTAGCAACCTTGCACTGAGAGCATCTGTGCAGATGTTCATTCCTATTTGAAAAAAAACAAAAAAGAAAATCAGTTATAAACATTAAAACTCTATTTGTATTTATCTTACTTATATAACTGACAGTTTTCAAATATTCCAAGGCAAAAAAAAGTATCTGGAATAAAAGGGGAACAAAAGAAAAGAGTAGTCTAAAACGCATTGTAGCATGAGAAGAAATGACACACTTAAATACAAAGCGATTTGCACAATCCTTTACACATAGGACTCAGGATACCTGGGGCCACTTTGGATCCACAGCAAAGATATCTAACATACCTTTTTTTGTGCCATACAGCTACAGTCCCAACGAGTTCGACTTTGTAGATGTATAACTAGACATTATAACTGGAGTTAAGCATAACAGGTAGAAAATAACGGTCTTGGGTCTTGCAGCAGGAGTCATTATCTGTCTTAATGAAGACCTTACTGTGAAACTGCAGTTATGATATCAAATTACAACTTCATTGAGGTTGACTTGTAAACAGAAATTTGTCTTAAGAAAATATTTCTGGTTCTATTTCTGGTTCAAGTAAATAAAAGATTTATTTCAGACCAGTATAAACAAGACAGATTTTTATGCTCCCATACCCTCAATTTCCTGTAGAAAATTGAATGTACAGATCATTAAAATCAAGTAACAATCTTTTAATATCTACTGTATGAAAAGCACAATTTTGTTGCACAAGATTCTGTATGTATTCCTGTTAACTACGAGGTTAAATGCAATATAGAAACATTTCATATATCAGCATATGTTTGCTATTGCCTCCCTTACCTTCCCACCTGATAAGTGAGTCCTGGAGACTGAAAAAAACTAAGCAACTCTTAGATTCCTGTAAACCAAATCTAAAACCCTGTGCATGCATAATAGGTTTTTGATTTTAAGGTACAATCCCTGAGGACAATTCAGAGATAGAAACAAGTCTGAAATCTTCATTTTGCCAGCCAGGGAGAGCTGCTTCATTTTCAAGGTTGAGCAATGACACACCTTTAGCCAGCCTATGACAGAGAAGTGTATTTCCCATTCCAGATTAAAAGTGCATATCAGAGTTATTTAGGGAAAAAAAATACTGCAGTAGAAAAATTACTGTAGACAACAGAAAATGAAAAGAAATGCCGTTTGGAACTACTCATTGATTTGGATATCAGAAGCAGTCCAGGTATAAATAAATGCTCACAAACAACACACGCAACTGAATTCCCACCAAGACAAGTTTTGACAGACATTTTTAATACTGAGCAGCATATTTCATCAGGGACAAAAAGAATCATTTTTAAGATACCACTCGCACCTTCTTTCTAGATGTTTTTCAATTAACAGCATAGACGAACACTTTTCAAACCTTTCAAATTGCTGAAAGATGATGCTACAAGAATATTAACTTGCTTTGTTACCTTTCAAGTCTGCCAATAAACTTTCCAAATCAGATTCATCATTGGCAATGCTGTCACTAAGAAAATCTGCCTACCAACCAAGATTAAAAGAGTAAAACAAAACATCTAGAGCTTTGGTTTGATGTTTAGCTGTCCATCTGCATGACCATAACCTTCATGACTGACACTCCGCAGGTTGCCTCTGCTTTTCTCTATAGTTCTACTTCATGTAGCTTTACAGAACCACAGAAAGTCATGAAGGCTCTTCCAACCTCTTCCTTGATACCTTCTTTATACTCAATATTTTACACCTATGCTAGCAGACTCCATCAGATTCAATTGTTGCTTTTTGCTGCAGAATGACTGAGCAGAACATTTAAGGCAGACTTTGTTTATTCTAAATACTATCCATCTAAACGCAAGTTAGGATTTAGCTAACGCAGCATTTCCAATGTCAGTCACATACACATTAAAGTACCAATCTGGCGGAGTATCAACCAGCAGGACACAGATTCCCAGAGCAGAGTAATTCTAACTTCGCAGCCAGAACTTAAGTGAATGAATGTCCATAAGTACTGGAGAACTCTCCCCTAATGATTTCACATCCTTCCATCAGAAGACTAAATCTGACAACATTAATAAACTGCAAACAGGCCTTGCCTTGGTATACTTTTTCTAAAAGATGCCAGGATTTACTGGGATCATTGATGTGAAGTCACGAACACTTACTTGCTCTTTGTTTTGGCAAACAATTAGTGGACCTGTTGCCACAAAGCACCGAACTCCTTCAGCACCTGCTGGAGTTTCAGTACTTTACAGGATTAGATCCTTTGTATCTTTTTTCCCTATAGATTTCACAATGCTGCAGTAACAAACAAATATGCAGAAAAATCTAGGCATCAGCACTTGAAACTTGGAGTTTTGCCACACTGACACCACCAGCCAGATTATTTGAATAAGGTGACTCCCTGCTGTCACTGCATAACAAATGAACAACCCATTCATCTTTTGGGGTTTCTCTGAATGACATTCAGATGTAGGATGGCACTTACAGACTTGAATGCTGCAACTACTGATCAAGTTGTTGCTTTTCCCCACCCCCAGTCCTGTCCTCCCTTGTGGACTAAAAGAAAGATCTTAGAGCATCCATGGGTCTTGCAACATGATATTTTAAATGAAAAGGAGTGTGATCTAACACACTTAACCTGAATAAAAGAATTCAAGAAAAAAAATAGTGTATACATGATTTATATGTTCTAGAACACTTTAAAAAGTGGGATAATTTGCCTAGTTTATTCCTGTAGTTCTCAGTATTTTAGAAACATAAGATCATTAAGGTTGGAAAAGACCTCCAAGACCATCTGGTCCAACCATCACCCTACAACCACTGTCACCCACTAAACCATGTCCCTAAACACCAGGGCCAACCTTTCCTTAAACACCCCCAGGCACAGTGATGACACCACCTCCCTGGGCAACCCTTCCCAATGCTCAACTGCTCTTCCTAAGAAGAAATGTCTCCTGATTTCCAACCTTAATCTGTTACAGACTTTATTGAAACAAAGTCACTGTTAAATACAGCTGTGCATTTCCCATCACTTGTAAATATCACCCGGAGATGACATCAGGTTACCTCCAGGGTATGGATGACATCTCAGCTGATGTGATCCACCTGAGTCAGGCTGCAGAGGCCCTACCAGTGCCACACCTTGCCCTGCTGAAAACAAATGAGCAGTTAATCAACACACTCCAATAACGACCTGGCCCCAGTGAATGGGAGTATTTTGGTTTGCTGGGGAAGAGCCTAAGATAATTAAAAAACACTGAAACCCAACCAAACATGATTAGGCTACTTAATTTATAATGAAAATGCATCTACACTTCTCTGGTGATTGCAGGCACTTGACTTTCAGCCCCCGCTCACCAGACAAGTGTTAGATGTAACACAACATTTGATTACCAGGCTACTCTCACCACTCCTTGCTGTACAATTTATTCACACTTCTGATGCTGCCACAGCTTGCAGGACAAAAGGGCAATCTCATGCAAATTCCCTACTGCGTTTTTGTTGTTGATACTGTTTTTCAGTTAATAATCCTGCTCTACAGTACACGTTACAAAAGAGATGCTCTTTCAGATGCATGTCAGGTAGGGCTAATTTCCTGAACAAATTATCGGACCTCTGATTCAGTCGAACACATCAAGTGCATGATGCCTACTTGGATTTTCTAAGTGCGTGCATTTCAGATTCATCACAAAGTGAAAGCAATCGATACCCACAATAAACACATTATTCATCATCCTACTAGTACATTTTTGTCTTCCAGAAATAAAAATAAAGATGCTAATAACAAACAGCATTTTTAACTTAGTAGATACGGGAGCAGCAGGGTTACATGCAATGCAATTACCACTTCCTTCCTCCCCTCTCCCAGCAGATGGGTAACGCCATGGTATGGCACAGGTGATCATCCACATGGGCACCAGCAATGGTGGGGGCATCTCCAGCATGCCAAAACTAATAGCATGGCTCCAGTGACAAGGACAAAGCGTGCTGGGAGAAAGCCTGGACAGGGGAAGTGCCTGGGCACTCCCAAGCCTGCCAAGCCCCTGGCACACCCCAAATCCGAGCCCTTGGCAAGCTATAAGGGCAGCAACCCAAGCCCAGGGCACCACCTTCATGCGGCTTCCCCTTCCCTCCAGCCTCAGGCCCATTCTGCCATCACAGACATGCTGGTGGAAGAGAAGCCACTGGCTCATCTGCCCTGTGGTCCCTACTTACGAGGCTGCTGGGGTCTCATCTCACCCCTGGAGCCTACATGCATACTATGAGCAAGAACTCTTTGAAATCCATGCCCCAAAAGTCATACAAAAATGCCACAAAATGCCCCACTTGCACACTTAAGAAAGCATATCAATTAATTTTAACATCAAAGCAGCACTAGGGAGAAGTAGCTTTTCAAGGGGTAGTTAGAATGCCCGATGTTTAAATTAAAATATAGTCACCACAGCTACCCAGACTCATTTATTCAAGTGAAATCTAAGAGAGACCTTTCATATACAAAAAAATACTTTTTTTTTTTTTTTTATTTCCAAGTACATCGATCATCTACTTTACACCTGAACACACTAAAGAAGTGGTATTTGCCCAGGAAAGAAAAGGGAGAAAACATGAATAATCACAGCACTTGGCTTGCAGCAAAAGTTCAGACACTTGTGCTCTCGTGCAAACCACCTAGTAACACAAGCAAAAATACAGCTTATTTGGCATACCAAGTAAACTTCCCACTGCTTAAGTCTTGGCTTCTGAAGTCTCACGTACCACCTCAATTGCTCACATTCTCTGCTATTTTCTGTATTTCTTGTTACTGCCAACCTTGTATTTAACACCCTGAAATGTTTTTGGATACTTTCTATAAGCAAAAAAAAATAATAATAATTCAGATAGATGAGGGGAGAGAGCACCCTTCAGCTTAGAATGAGCCTCAGTTCTGTTCAGATTTTACAACTATCATCTTTATTACATATATGCTACCTTTATTTGGCTTAAACATGCTGGGTCTTATTATTTCAACAAACTGGGTGTTCCGGATACTATTCCTTGTCTGCTTCTGTGCATCTGCTATTA